AGCTCGCTACGCATTCAACCACTTAGCTTGCAATTAATATATACATAGGGTGCCCCACCAACTTTACGCCACCTCCGTAACTTCTAGACGGTTTAAGATAACGAAAAGGACTTTTCGCTAAACAATGCGGGATCATGGGGCAAGTAGCATGCTCTCGAGAAATTGTATATACTATTTTTAGTTTTCGAGAAATTTCATCATCTTTGATTTTTTAAATACAACTATATATTTTTCTCACCTGCAATGGATAGATCATGAAAAGAGCAATAACACGATGTATCATATGTTAGTATTTTGATTGTAATTTCAGGATAAAATTAGACGTGTGATTTTGTATTAAGCCAACAATATATCATGTAGCAGCCCTTGCAACTCTCGCAAGGTAGGCAGTGAGAGATACGATGCAGAACTACAGCAATACATAGTCTTGACACTGATGTCACACTAAGAAACACCAATTTTAACGACGAGAATGATGTTTTCCATTGGTTCATTTTATCTCCAACTGAAATTCCAAAACTAGATCATTCCAACGAACGATACAAAAATGGTAACGTAAGATGATAACAATAAATATCATTTTCAAACTTGACAAGAATCCATCCACTTCGCAACTGTGTACGCAACTGCTGTTCATAAATGGAAAAGATAACAGTACACGTCCGTCTTCTGACATGGATTTTCAAATTTGTGGCAGCATGAACCGATATGAAGTGAGAAACTCTCCAATCAGTATTAGCAATCGTGGCTACACACGCCTTTTTGTTAAAGTGAAGTACATTTATACTGATATAACTCACAAGAGTATTTCAAAATTTGTTACTTTGTTCTGATGATACATGTTGAAATAGACAGTTTATTAACAGTAAATAATAAGAGAAAAGTATACCTATCCATTTTTTAATGATGTAGAGATATTTCAATGACAATCTGTATAAACATTCATTTCCTTCCCATGTTTTAAAGTGATGACTTGTTTCTGCCGTAATACAATAATCTCGATTTTTGTAAGCTTGAAAATGACCTTTGTTAATATCGTCCTTGCGCTATAATATTTTATTTTTATTTTTGTTCTTTTCTATTATCGTTGCTTATGAATTTCCGTAGAAGAAAGGCTCAAATGGACGAATGGGATTCTGATCGTCAATATTGATGTTTGTTCGTATGTTCATGTCAAGACCATGGATTGTTGTAATTACCTCTATCCTTCACGGCCACCCCACTCAGACTTCTACTTTCCTCAACAGAAAGGGCACCTTCCCCAAATTTTACTTAATCACATGCCAGGAAGTCTAATTGTTTACTCATAGTATCAAAATTGTAACATATAAATCATTTTATTCCTCGTTTTATTATCTATCCATTGCTGGTAAGGAAACTTTATAGACCCATTTAAAAAACCAAAGACTGAATTTCTCGAAAACTAAAAATATTATAGGCCATGTTACTTGCTCCATAATTCCGCACTGTTTAACTAAAACTGCCTTTCGATATCTCGTACCATTTAGAAGTTATGGGGGTGGCCCATTGTTGGTGGAATATCTTTATACACACACACACACACTCATACAATACATGTGTATATATATATGTATATATATATGTATATATATATACACATATGTTTGTATTTATATATATATATATATATATATGTATGTATATATATATATATATATATATATATATATATGTGTATGTATATATATATATATGTGTATGTATATATATATATATATATATATATATATGTATATACACACACACACACAATTTCAGTTAGAAATACATTTTCATCTAAACACTAATAAATATGAATTCGATTGTATTCCTTTCGTATTCCCCAAGGGGCCTAAATGTTCACTGGGGAGTTAACCAATACCTGGTGTGTTATAGTTCATTACTTTTGTATTATGTAGTAGTGGCTTTTCTCTTTCGCACTTTGCGCCTTGGAGTATGCAACCCGTGGTACGTTGCTGCGTTGAGGGCGGAAGTGATCCCTCAGCTTCTACCGCAAACCACTCAATATAGCAGTTTGATATTTCGGCAGATATCGAGTTAAGGATGTTGAGTGAAATGAGAATGATAAATTTTGTGTAATAAAACTACGAAAACAAATTACACACCATTTGTGTATATATTTGTTTATTAACAGCGTAGTAACAAAAGCCTAAAGAAAAAAAGTGACACAATAAAATAAATATAGATATATACTCAAAATTTTAGTTTTGGGTTTAGATGCAGCTGGTCAGTAAGCACCTAACTTTATCACAAAAGGGCGCGGGTGTATTGTCTTTGTCGAACCGTGCCGAAAAAGCGATCTGCGAACCATTGCAAATAATATTCTTGTATTGTAGGCATTACCCAGTGAAGTGTGGACTGCTAATATTATTGTGACCTAGCTATGGACATTTTCACTTGCGCACAATAAAAATGATTGTCTGTTGGTTGCCTTATATACACAATATATGTAATGTCAATTTTAATTGAAAAAGCTTGTTTAACGAAGCAATTAGTAGTGGATGTGATAAACAGCACAGTAAAAATTACTAGCTTTAATTGCACAGAAAAAAATTAAAGCCACTACCATTTTGGAATTTACATGAATTTAATTTGGTCATTTCTTAAAATATAACTTTTAATAATTGTAGTTTTTTTTATTTAATTCTGAAGTCTAAAGTGGTAACTATTGACAAGTGATTGAAAGTTACAACTTGAAAGTTCGATTAGTGTCCGTTCATGTTAAACCCTCGGAAACAGGTCGAAGTTGGACGTAACGTTACATAAAATAATATCGCGAACATAAATTCAGGCATTAATTCTAAAAGTCAGTGTGTCAGTAAAAGTCAGCAAAATGAAACGGTAGTCAATCTAAAAGATTCGCAATAATGTAAGAGCTAAGTTAAAATGCTAATAAAACGCCACAGCCTTTTGATATATCGATTAACACAATAGAAAATCGCTTTCGTACGGAAGAAAAAACTAACAATAAGCGTATATTTAGTCACTTTGACTTCAGATTTCGTAATACTTTATTGTTAAAACGTAACGTCAGCAAACCAGCAGAATAAAAAGCTACACCTAACGGCTCCCGTCCGATGACATTAACGTTCAGTGGACCGTTACCTGCCCAATGGATCACAGCCGCGCTATCGCTCACCTTCTTGTGGTGTACGCTTTCGCTGTAAAACTAACAATATTAGTCTACGGCGTAACCCTCGCGACCATTCCTTGCTATTTAATTGGTATTAATTAAACATTGGATTGTAGGTTTTAAATGTTGTATTTGAAGAATGGAGGAAATTTACTTAATCGGTTGCTAAATGAAATTAATTACGTAAATACTCTCTAAGAGAAAAAAAGGTTAATGAACACTCATATGTATGCATGTGTGAGTGTTCATTAACACTCACATACTTAAAGTTAATACCCTGGAGATACTTATACTGGAAGGTTGCAGAACGCTGTTTGCGCCAACAATACTGTAAGGAGGTACCTCTCTGTGTGAGGGAGGTATTATTTCAAATGTCGCGGATTGCAGTGCTTCTGACTTCATTGTTTAGTTCAATATACCGGTGACTCTTGATCGATTCACTTTGAGGAACGTTATTTAGATTGGTTTTCTTATCTTCTACTTCAACACAACACTGCCAGATTTTTTTAAAAAATGTAGCTGGAACTGTTTAAATATACAACTAATGTTCCTATGCATACTTTATCCAGTTACTGGACATTATCTGGTTATTCTGGTACATACTTTATCGTGTTATTTGAAATTTTTACAGTTTTTGAAAATTTAGAGAACGCAACGAAAATCGGATGTGCGCCATTTTTTAAGCGTTCGTCGCAGTATTTGAGAAAAAACTAAGGAACATTTGGAGTAGCTTTTAAAATATCTTGTTATTAATATTGCCCATATTTAACTCGCAGAAGTACGAAAAATACTATTATAAAAAAATGCTCGTATTTCAGTAAAGAATCAATTATTGGCAAAAATATTAATACGAAGGGGAAAAAACTCTTTAATAAAGTAGAAAAAAGTAGTTTCAAAAAAATTATACTTTCCAATTTTCTAAAATTGTGAATTATCAGTAAAAATCTGATGTATACCGATTTGGGTATTTTACTTTATTTGAGCAAGATATTGAAAGAAAATATTTTACCATTTAGAGCCATTTTTGAGAAAATTTGGAAAATGTCCCAGGGACTTCTTTTGAAGTATCGCCAAAATTCAAATAATTCATTTCAAACTCGTGGGGCCTCGCAACAGACCATACCGATTTAGGCAAGATTAATTTTGGATAAAATCCTACGAAGAGTATAGGCACTAAGTGCTGTTCACAGGCGGGCGATTTGAAAGAAAAATTGGTGTCGGGACCGTGTATTTCCGTTAAAATCTCGAAATCGATTTGCACCTAGTAGTTAAAAAGTGGTTAAAGGGCATAACCTGTTCTGTCGCGTTTATAACAAGAACTGTGTTATGAACAGAGAATAAGTGCTTCTGTAACACTAACACCGTAACTACGCCTGGCACTTGATGCCCGTGTTATATTTGCATTGTGCGTATTAAGGGCTTAACAGTATAAGTAGGTGAGAGTGTGTGAGAATATTACCTCTTCTAAGACACTGCTATTTAATATCAAAGAAATGTTTCATTTTAAGTATTCAAAGTAAACTTATGTGAAATAAATTAGCATTCTAATTTAAATGACTAATCAACGTTTAAAAAACAATTATTTGATTGTTCCTCTACATGAAGTTTCTTTGAAGTTCGTACTAGTCTCTGTACATACTTATCGACTTGAGCAAATACGCGTTAAATGTGCTTAAGCATGTGTATTGGTTCAGAGAAGGATAACCGCAAAGTAACATCTGCAAGATATTGTAGCAACTGACGACTAATTAACTGGATTTTCATTAAATTTCTTTGATTTTGGGTGATTGAGAAGAGGGGGGCTTGACATGAAGTTGCATTAGCACGTGTGTGTTGGTGTTTTCAGACGGAGCTGTGCGGCATCAAATGGCGTAAACTAGTGTGGGGTGAGGGCGGCGGTGGCGGCGCCTTCGCGGCCGCCGAGCCGCTCGAAGACCCGGTGCTGGCCAGCTACGGCCGCTGTCTCGCCATGGACATTCTGTGCGTGTGGCGGCGCGTCGCTGCTCAGTCGCCCGCGGCGGCCGCGGCTGCGACAGCCGGTGGCCTCTTCGACTCGATGGGGCTGGGCACGCCGGCGCTCGGGAGTGGCGGGGGCGGCGGCGGGGGCGGCAACGGCAGCGGCGGCAGCAGCAACGGCGGCGGAGGCGGAAGCGGCACGCAACAGCCGCCGCTCTCGCTGCACGCCGCCAAAGAACTCTGGATCTTCTGGTACGGGGAGCCGCCCGATCTGTCGGGATTGGTGGCGCCGGAGCTAATGGCAGCAGGAGGTGAGTGGTCGACTGGAGTTCAGTTATCGCGACTTTCCGTTCCTTTGAAAAGTTCAGATTGCTTTCCATTGAATCGGTCTCATTATCCGCTTGGAGAATACTTACTGGGCCTGTTATTGAATTATTATAACATAAACGTCGGCTGGTGCGAAGTCGACTTTTGAAGATGAAATAAGAGGAAAACGATTTTGTGCCAGTTTATGATTAGGTCTACGTCAAGGAAAAACATATTTGGTTCGGTGCGAAAGAAGACATGCAAGTGATGTGTTCACAGAAATCGTCAGTGTAGATGCGTTCGCGCGCTCGTTAGTATTGATCCCCGAATATTCTTTTTCTAAAGAGAGAATGATGTGGGTGTAAACATTGCCATGTTAGGTCATGATAGTCAGTTGCTGCTCGTTTGGAACTCCGCGATACACATTTCTCCTTGGACTTACACGCGTAATAAAACTGTTTCATGACATTAAAATAAATGCCTGTAATTTACAGTAGAAAATCAGATGTAAGCTTTTCAAGTAATTATAAATTTTTCTTTACATGATTTGTGCCACTTCAAGCGAAAGGGATAAAAGAAGATGCGTACTAAGTGAGGTAGTAGTTTCGATGTAATGGCGGACCCAGTATCACGCGTGCTCGTCACCTAAATAAACCATAATTTGTTGTGCAGGATGAATGAGTGTAAAATAAGATTTTGCATTAGTGTCAAGATCGGTTCTATGTACAATGGTTGTACGTGATGTGTCGATTGAGTGTATTCAGGATAGTGGATTTTCACTTGAGTGGAATAAACTGAACATGCAAACGATAGAGCCACTGTCAGATTCACAATGAACTTTTTCTTCTTCTTTTTTGTCCACGTAAGTAACGTCTAATATTCAAGTTAAGCGATATATTACTGCAGTGTTCTACAAAGTTGAGCTTCATGCAATACAAAAGAAGTGTGTCATATGCAAGACTTACGATATCTGGCACTTTTGTGAAGCGCATAAACTTCTTTCATCTTAACGACAATTCTAATCATAACCTTCAGAAAATGTAAGTTCAGTGAGTACAAAATTATCCTTATGATAGCTGCTATGTCGATCGTTGATTGTGAAGCAAACCTCCGATTTTCTTTCGCATCTCGAACATTTCAATAGTTTAAAGATAATTATGTAGCGTGTATATGAATTCGAAATCGCCTACAGCATGAGGTGGCAGCGGAGCGTTGGCAGCTGGTAAGAAGAAAGCTCAGTGGCCCTGGACCACGTGCTTCAGCGGAGGGATATATTCCTTTTTGTGTACAGCCATTTCATTCTTTCGTTGGATACACGAGTCTATTAGCAAAGTCCCGTAGGATGTCTCCGTGCCTCATGTTTTGGGAATTTTGCAAGTAAATAGACATTTTGCCAATGGGGCGTATCCGTGACGATAGGGAGTGGGAGCAAGAAGTAAAGGTTTCATCTCTATGAAATTACCAAACAATTTTGACTCATATTATAGCAAACTGGGATGCAAAGTAACTCAATCTTTACGCGTAAACCTTCTTTTAGTTTACTTTCGACTGAGAAATCGTAGTTAGGTAACAGCATTTGAACGGCGTTTATCGTGTGTGCAGATACAATATTATGAGAAATGCAGAGCAAGATGACGCATTTTTTGATTAGTATGAGGTACTTCCACACTGACATGAATTCTTTGGATAGTTTCTTGGAAGGTTGGTGTGCGCGTGGCAGGCTGTAGTAGTGAATGCAACTAATGCTGTCCTCGTCGCCGCGGGCGGCGCGCCTTCCTCGCTGAGGTTGTTGCCCGCTGGATCACTTGGGTGTTACGCCCCCGGTGTGTGGCTTGTCAGCGGACAGGGCGGGTGCCACTTCCCGCTCCTGCGCCCGCGCCGCCGCCGCTAATTCACGCAGACGCGGTCGCCTCGTAAGCTGTCGAGCAGAGCAGAGCCGCGGTCCACGGAGCGCCGCCCACCGCGCAACAGGTGGGTCGCACCGCTCCGGCTGCTTCTCCGCTCTGCGCACGGAAAGCCAAGCGGCGGCGGCGGTGGCTGGAGGGGGTGCGGTGTTGCCGCAGCGCGGCGCCGCCATGGCACTGCACGCGCCGTCTTAAAGGGCGCCCGGCAACGCCGGCCCTCCTGTATCGACGCGTCGCGACGCGACGCGGCGCGGCACGGCGGCACGCGCTGTGCGGGGGCGCTGCGGGGAGCTTCCTCGCTTCCCCCGCCCCGTCCTGCCATGTCCGGGCATCCCGCGCCGCGCGCGCGACTCCTGCTCACGATACACCACTCACCGCACACGCGGAGATGGTTCGACACTATGCTCCACCACGGATCCCGAAATATGTAATTGGGTGAATTAATGTGTCAAATAATTTGAATAAGAGAGCTTTCCGCGCGGGAGGCAGAAATAGCGTTCGCATAGCGAAAAGCAACGTCGTGATGGTGGTCAGTTTGATTGCTAACGGGCATTTGTGGGATGCGCGTGGGAATGTCAGTTGTCGGGCGATTCCGTATTGCTGTTGTGAATGAGTCGGCCCCTTTAAAGCAGCGCGCGATCTTTAGGGGAATGCTGTGCCTGTGGCGCGTTCCACGGTGCGCCGGCGCATCACAAGGGTGGCGGAGGCGACTACCGGACACGCCCGGTTACACCTCACCGAGATTATTCTGCATTAACTCTTCCGCAATGCGCGGCCTTGTTTCGTCTCCCCCTCCCCGTACCCAAATGCACTCGGCTAAATGGTATCACGAACTAAGGGGGCGCGAGACGTCGGCTTTAAGCGCAACAACGCAGGTGTTCTGTTTGGACGAAGACTAGGGCCGAAGAAGGAGAGGGGCTGGTGGCAGCGGTGGTAGCCGCCGTGCTATGGGGTTGCACGTGGCCTGAACCCCTGGGAGGATGCGTGCGGACGGTGGGTCGATGCGTTAGCCTGCGCCTCGCTGTCACGTCCGCCACCGCCACCACCGCTGACGTGGTGCGCGATCAATAGCCGTGACCCACTTCCGGGCGCCGGCCGCGGGGCGCGCGGCCGTCGCCACCGCTCCGCCGCTGCCGATGCCATTCATCGCTGCCCCGCGACGGGGGCGGGGGGCGCCCGGTGCATGCCGGGAAGCGTTTCGAACGGGCGAGCGGATGGTCGATGCGTGGCGGCAGCGGCGGGCGCCGCGCGTCGTTTGTTGGTAAACACTTCGGGCGCCGCGGGAGGCGCGAACTCACGATGCACACGGCGCATCTCCTTTGCAGATGGAGAGATCGGCTCCTGGGAGAGCGGCCTGTCCTACGAGTGCCGCTCTCTGCTCTTCAAGGCACTACACAACCTCATCGAACGGTGAGTAGTTCCATGGTTATGGGTTTCTTGCGAACGTCGAAGCTCTTTTCCATAGATTATCTTTTGCCAAAACTATTTTTGTTTACTTAATTACCAAAATGTTAACTGCCACGGGTAGATTTTGTTTGGAATTATGATTTCCATAAATTATTTGGGATATTTATTTTCTTTAAGGGAGAATGGGTATGATGTAAATGAGTATTTAGTAATTGTGAAGTCCTTAAAAGTTATTTGACCTTTATTGTTGTATTTCAAGGATAAGATTGGAGGTAGACTAGCGCTTGGATAGTGATGGAAATTAATAATAAAGTAGAATAGGATAAATACGGCTAGGCCGATTGGCGTGTGCGAATCATTCAGAGCTCTTGGTGAAGATGCTTTGTGCTGGGAATAAGTCCTCGTGGTAACAATGCTTATTTCTGACCTTCATACTCATGCCCAGTTTCTCGAAGTACTTGGTAATGGCAGTTTCCATTGCCAAGTACTTCTCAACCTGACTTAAAGAAATCTAATTAAATCCGAAAGTCAGAAAATAGGAGAATGTTAATTGCTATCTTTAATGTAAACACAGCATGTTAGGGTGTTAATATTAGGTGCACATAAATAAAACTGATTTTTTAACTGTTCCTTTTAGTAGTCATATACGTTATAGGTAACATACGTTACGACCGTGGATGTTGAGAGCGATAATGTCGGAAATGATGAAATGTATTGGGAGGAGGAGGGACTGGAGAGAAAAAAATGAATGAAAATTCGTAGTAGTTCACATTAGTGCTTTGCTCGGTCCCTCCCCCTTCTGACTCGCGCGGTGGCGCAGGTGCCTGCTGTCGCGGGACTTCGTGCGTCTGGGTCGGTGGTTCGTGCAGCCGTCGGAGGCGTCGGAGCGCCTGGCGGCGGGCGCGGCGCACGCGGCCGCTGCAGCCGCTGCTGCCGCCTCCGCCGCCACCGCATCCACGCACTTCTCCTTCTCCTTCGCCTTCTTCGTGCACGGCGAGAGCACCGTGTGCGCGTCGATCGACGTGCGTACGCACCCCCCCGTGCGCGCTCTGTCGCGCCACCACCTGCAGGTGGCGCAGGCCCGCGCGCAGGGACTGCCCGTGTTGTTGGCGCCGTATGGGCTGGCGGGTGCGCTGACCGGAGCTGGTGCCGCGCGCAGCGCCGCCGCCGCCGCCGCCGATCCTCAGCTGCAGCGCATGCTGGACGAGTGGAGGCAGTTCTACCCCATCGACTGCAAGTTGCAGGCCGCGGCCGCCGCGGCCGCGCACGACTCGACTGCAGCGCTGCCTCCTATGGTCGAGGTGCGTTGTTGAAGGACGTCACCCATTTCCATACATTTTGACATTTTACATTATTCATACATCGTTATCACAGGGTCTGATTCAAGCGATCTTGCACAATCGCGGTAAAATGCAAAGGAGTATGCTCAGCTTGTTTACATTTCATGAGAAAAAAAAAAAAGGTAAATGCGCAAAACAAAGCGCCTGGAAAGTGGGAGAGTATTCATAAATTACCTTTTCATGTTGACATTTTAAATTATGAATATAATGTATGAATAACCTTGTCATGTTGTACTGATAGTAAAATGTGTACTTTAACTTTTTTCGCATGCATGAGCATTGATAACATCCTCGACGGAGAATCTGTGAATTAGGTGGTGGTGTTGAATGTGTTTCTGGAGAAGCATAATGAAAACAGCTTCCAGTGAGACCCAGTTAAAGTATTTGTTGTTTTGAAGTACGTACAGACATGCATACTTCTAAGGCTTGCTTATAAACCCGTTGCAGGTTGTGGTGGGCGGCGTGAAAATGCGCTATCCAACGTGCTTCGTGCTGGTGACGGACATGGACGACGTCCCGCCGCCATCGGCGTTGGGCCCGGGTGGGACTCCGGAGGCAGGATCGGGGGCCGCGCCCGTGTCGCCTGGTGGTACAGGCGCCCCCTCCGCCGGAGGCGGCGGCGATCCATCGCGCTGCACGTCACCTCCTCCCTCACCCTGCCCCATCGCGGTGACACTCGGAGGCGGACACACGGCCGGCCTGCCGGGCTCGGGTTCCGGTGTTTCCGGGCCGCCCCCCGGCTACGCGGGCCCGGTGTTGCCCACCGTTCAGCAGCCGCCGCACGTTTTGGGAGGCCATCACCCCGCCTCAATGCAGCACAGCCCTTCGCCCGCGCAACTGCTGGCGGAACACGTGTGGCAGGACGCTACGCTCTGCCCCGCGCAGCGGGAATCGTCAGCTGCGGCGGCGCTTCCTGCAGCGGGCACGCCCGCTCCAGCGGGTGTCGGGGAGGCGGCGGCGTCGACGCCCTCGGGCGAGGCCCAAGCTCCATCACCCGCCCCGTCCACCGGCGCTCCCGCCGGCACCCCGGCGGCAGCCGCACCTTCGCCCTCCCCTTCCCCAGCGCCCGCATCGGCGGCCTCCGCCACCCCCGCGCCCGCGGCTGTACAGCCCGCCGGTCACTGGGACTTCGCTGACCCGACGCGTCGCGCGATCTGCACCTGCGTTCGGTGAGTACCCGCTGGCTCGCGCTACGCATGCGCATGCGCCGTGTAGAGAGAGGCCTGCATGTCCGGCCGCGTGCGCCGCCGCCGGCGCTGACACCGCCTGCAGCCGCGGCTGCCGGGCTCGCTCCGTGGAATGTGCCGTGGATGGATGGCAGATGTTGGCATGCGCCGCCCCCGCCCGCTGCGCGCCCTTCTCTGTATGTCTTGCTGCGCGTAGAATGTTGATCCCTGTAGAGTAGATGACCCCTCTTGTTGAATACGTGAAAAAGGAACGGCAGGAGCAAGATGAGTTGGAGAAGAGAACAACGTGAGAGGTTTCGGTGTGTGCAGTATTCGCGGGACAAAGCGGGTGTCATTAAATGGCAATGAAACAGGAAGAGGGGCCAGCCACAACCACCTTTTGAATGAAGGCATTCATAATGGTCAGAATTGAAGATTGGCGAGAGCGAGAAAGAGTTGCCAAAAACGAAACGTGGGTAGGCAGAAGCCCGAAGGAAGAGCTTCCCTATGGGACGGGTCAGGGCAGGGCAGGGATGGGAAGGGATGGCGCGCGTGACGCGCGCTTCGTTGCAGGTGCCGGCGGCCGCCGGGGCGGCGCGGCGCGCGGTCCGCGGCCGCCACCGCCGCCTCTTCCACAACCGCCNNNNCCGCGCCCTTCCATCGGCGCGCGCCGGCCCCCGCGGCCGACGACCCGTGGGCCGACGCCCCGGGCGCGGCACCGGGCCATCGCCTCAGGTGTGTAGCCCAGCGCCCATCCGCTCGCTCGCCCACTCGACCCACGATTCACCGCCGCTGACGCGGCTTCCAACGCCGACGCCGCGCGCCCGCCGTCACACCGCCTAACTCTCGACGCTAACTCTCTAACACTCAGCTCAGCTCCTCCGTTTGCCGCTGCTTGCCAGCATGCTCGCCCGCCCTCAAAACGCATGGCGCATGACGCATTATTTTCTGAAGCATTTCCTCCTTCCATTCTAGATCATGTTGTAGTGCCTTCATGAACTTTATTTTAGCATTTTATTTATTGCATGTGCTTTTTGTGTCGCGTGAGGTCCAGTCATGTAATTTTCTGGTATCTTCAAAATAATATTTTGTTATTCCCAGTTCCAAATTAGAGTATCGATCTGTACGTATTCTCGTCTCAGATCTAATTCAGCAGGTTTTTTGCCATTCAGAACGTCAAGTGACAATAAGTAATTGGTTTCAACGTAGCTTGAAATTAGTAACTGTTTGAGGTATTTTTGTAGTTCTTTGCTCACAGGTCTACTAGAATATACTACTAGGTAAAGGATATTTTCTATTTTTACGATAGAGAAACTGGACAATGAAAAACTGCGTATTATTGCTTATGTGAGAAGTGTAATGTATATGAATGAAATTGGCCCGTAGTGATTTCAAAATAACTGCTTTTTTATAATGTCATATGCTTATTTGCACGGTTTAAGACCAATTAAATTCTTTTGACGATATTTATACATTTGTCCGAGGTAATCTCTGGACTGACTTAACCAATTTTGATGCACTTATCGCCGAAATAACATCTTGTCAGGTATAACGTTTGCTACATTATTTCAAATTATTATTTCCCATCTGCATAAAAATTCAAATCTTGTATGTTATTTAGATCTTCATGAAATTTCGTACACATGACCTTCAAAGCAGATAGGTCTGCATCAGATTTCGATAGTGAATTAAGCATTTCTTAAAGCGAAAAATCCTTTCCTACAAATTGCAATTTCATTAATTCCGAAAACGCAATTAGATCATGAATATTGAAGGTCAATAGAGTTACAAAGTGTGCAATATTACATCTGTTTTACAGTTACACATAACGAATTTAGCTACGATAATCATATCAAATATGGCAGGACAGTGCCAGGTGACGTAGCTCGAGGCGGGGTGGAGCTAGTCGAGAAGGGACAGAATGCAGCTGGGAGGATGGTACTGGGCAAGCTAAGAACAGGCAGAACTGGTTAGTCTCTCCAGACTGGGTCAAGCAAGGTTGGCTGAGATACACAACTCGTAGAATTAATTCCTTTCGAATAGTCGATTCTTATAAATGCTCGAGCCACGCAGGATCCATTAGCCAGTAACTAATAACATTGCGTAGGTGGGAAGTACAGTCGACGATTCTTCTCGCTTTGTTTGCTCATTCAAACAAATTGTTTCATTTCCAATTATTTTTCATTGAGTCGAGAGTCATTCTCAAAGTCATGGCAACTGTATTCTACAAACCAAAACAGCGATAGGAATTCACTGTATGCGATTGAAGTTAAAGCGATTTAATGTTCTTCGCTATCGTGAAACAAATTTTCCTAGAAGATGAGCATTCGGGAAGTGGTAATTGAAAGTTGCGGAACAGAAATAATTGTTTTACTATTTACAAAGGAAAACATTTTACATACATTACTTACAGTTACAATACATTTCAAAATAGGTTGCATCCATATTTGCCAATGAAGATCATCGGCTGCGTGCAGTTCGCCGATGTGGTGCATTCGAGAAGTTGTGACGCGAAGGCGTTCATACAAAGAGCAACATTTCGATAAGGCAACTTTATATCACCAAAAAATTCTCGTAGATTCTTGTAACTGGCAAGCATTTCTTACACACGGATCTGCAATTTCCACCTACGACCATTATTCTACTTTACTTACATAGGAGCACAGCCTCTAGCATTCTAACTCTTGCGTGTGCAATTAATTCCCATTCACACGACACGGCCCGACTCAGAGGTGCGGTGTCGAAAAGAGTTGCCTACATATTTACTGAACTTACATATACATTCTTCTTATTTCTGAAGATACTCATGATAGTTATGACACATCATGATCCTCTTGTAAATAACCAAATTACAGTTGTTTGTATGGATACTACCAGTCTTAGAACTTGACATACAAGTCATATGTTGAAATTCATTAAATAAGAAAACTTGTTTTCAAAGGTCTATCAAATTATGCCTGAAAAATAGGAATCTCATTTGTGAAAATTAATAGTAGAGCTGATAATGAAAATTAATTTTTTTTGTGTTAAACAAGAGTTACCACTCTCATTCTACTACTCTCATTTTTTTGTCTGAAGTATATTTTGACTGTCACTGGCTAAGCAAGATCTTGTTTATGCCAACGAGTTGCAAGGTTTTAATTTCTGGGCTATTTCCGCACCTGTTGGTACGTTAATTGCTGGACGAATGTGAATGTAATGCGTCTAATTAAAAAAACGCAACTTATCCTTTCAATTCATATATATAGATATAGATATAGACACACACACACACAAAATAGGTTTGTCCTCCCAATTGGCCTCTGTTTCACCATAAAATGCTTAATAACATTATGGTTAATGATTAATTTCACTCTTTATTTTTACATTGTATTGGTCGTGGGTACTTAAAGCGACTCCAAAGCCAAAAATATATTTTGCTTTGCTTTGTAGAATTGGCTATTGAAGACAAAATATATATACATACATACCATAACGAAAATTAGAATGTGTGCCCGCATGTGTAACGCATTCTTGTCCACAGGCTATCAGGGCAGTGCGCGGCCGCCGGCGGAGGACCACCGTCGTACGGGAGCCGCGCTGGGCAGCCGGGCACGCCCACAGGTCCCATGCTGCCCAGTCTGGCGGCGGCGGCGACGCCGGGAACCGCGGGCGGGGGCGGGAGCAGCGACGCGTTGCCTGTGCCGTCGGTGGGGTCACCGGCTTCGGCGGCTCCGTCGCCGTTGCCCAACCCCCACTCGCAACCCGCGTCCGTGCCTCCTGCCGATCCCACCATGCCCACGCTGAGCCCGCATCCACCGGCGTCAAACGGCGGTAGTGGGGGCGGGGCGCCACCCACCACGCCCACGGGTCCGCCCTCATCGGCGGGCGCGCCCTCTTCCGTTGCCCCAGCAGCCGCGACGTCTGACGGCGTGTCTGACAAGGCCGCAACGCCCGCCGCCGCCTCCGACCCCAACGGGCCCAAGTCCGTGTCATCAGTTTCCAATCAGGTGGGTAGCGTACGCAAGCTCACATTTGGCCCGCGGGACGCCTCTTCATGCATACTTAACTCTCGTTCAGTAATTCATTTCTTCTTGGGAAAGAAAGTCTGGTGCATTCGATGTCTTGAAAGGTATTTTAACCTAATTTCCCACAATTATTTTTTACAAAAGACATTTTCTCTCTCTGCGAGTGCGTTTCACCCTATAAGTCATATTCATTTTGATCCTGAAAAACTTTGAAGTTACAATTCGATGCATATTTCGTATTTATTGCTGTGCGGGTGTGTGTCGGAAAGTGAGTGCCTATATTTTCGTTTTGGAAATATCTACTTGGGCCAAGAGTGTATGCTGCAAGCTAGAGCGGAAGAGTGGAAATCGATTCGAATATTCGAGGTAGTTTGTGCCCCTCAGGTGTTCTCGCCATACGCCCCGGGATCAACCGGCGAACCGGCCAAGGCTCCCTCGTCGGTGCCGGGCGCCGGCTCCGGCTGTGGGGAGGCGGCGGTGCTGACGGCGGCCGCGACGCCGACTCAGTCGTCCGTGGCGCCTGCGGGTCAACAGTTGGCGTCAGCACCGGCTGGTTCTTCGACCTCAACAGCGGCTCCCGCGCCGCCACCACCGCTGCCCACGCTCAAGCGACCCGTTCTTTCTTCCCGGGAGTACGAGTCGATTCTTATGGAGGAAGAGCAGCCGTCGGCGCTGCTCTATGACTATTCTACCTTGGATGCTTGGTGAGTGGTCTCGTTGCAGATTGCATGTTGCAACTTTCAAGGGATGAGGTTAAAGAAATTACTGCGACCGTACATTGCATTACATAAATTGTTGTTTGAATATCCAGCAGTCATTTGCGAGTAGCATGCAATTAAATGGCAACCCTTCGGATTTATTCACAGCCGATAGGAAGTTCTACCTTTTGTAATTTGTTCTAAGCAGCTTCATCCACGAAGAAGTAACAAGATATCACATTACTTAATTTTTTTCCAATGGCTATTTCAAAATAGGTGTGGCAGGTACGGCACATGCTGTAGTTTCCTTGCACTTTGCTGGCGTGGCAAGGCTTTGCTGGGTGATCGCGCGGAGACTGCGCGCCCACCATCTTTTCCTTGCGACAGCGACCGCTCCCACTGGCGGAGGGGCGCCCGAGCCAGGCGGTCTCCTCTGCTTCGCCCGACGAGCACACATCGCCTCGTGCGACCTCGTCCTCGTCCTTTCCCGATCCCAGTTCCGGTGCCTGCCCCCATCCCGATCCCGGGTTCTATCTACGCCTCCGCCAGCGCCTCGACGGCGTTACCTGGCGGTCGCGTGGAGAGGCGCGGGCGTGGGAGACCGCCCAGGCGACGGAGCGCTGTTGCGGCGTTGTGGTGCGCATGGGGGTATACGTAATCTGTAATTGAGAATTCGTGATTTAAAGTGCTTTTCAAATGAATTGTAAAATTGTTGGTAAATTAACCAAATGCATAATGAAAGCATATTCCGCAGGCTTTACCACCCTGTGAAACGCTTCAAACCCGCCGAACCGCGCCTGCCCCCGACGTTCGGCGCCCGCGGCGCGGCGGGACCCGGCGCTACATCGGCGCCAGCGCCCCTCGGAGATCCCTTCCTCAACGGCGGCGTGGGCACACCGGAATCGCCATCATCGGGCGGCGCCTTCGTTAAGACCGAGGTGAAGACGGAGCCGGGCCTGGGCCTGCCCATGGAGTTGGACGGCCCCGGCAGCGTGGGCGCCCCCGGCGGCGGCAAGCGTTCCGACCCTTACGAGTTCGAGGAGGACGGCGCGCCGGCTGTAAGCATGGAGCCCTTCAAGCGGCAGGTCGTGGTGAAGGAGGAGGAGCGGCGCGGCGGCTGCGCAGGCGCGGGCGCCATAGCAGGCGCCAGTGGCGCCTTCGACACCGTGGCTGCCGCCCCTGGCGCCGCCGCTAACGGCCCGTCCGCGCGCTTCGGCGACATGCTGCCCGGTGACGGCCTGCCGTCGTACCCGGACGCCGACCAGATCTTCGACAATTCGGAGTCTTCGAGTGATGAGGCGCTGCCGGTGCCCACTCCTCCGGGCTCCAACAAGCCTGCTGGCCTTGCCGAGGACTCCGCCACGCCACCCGCCCCTAAGACGCTGCGCGGTGCTGGGGGCGCGTCTGGGGGCGCCGTGTCTACCACCACGCTGCTCAATGGCGGCGCCTCGGCGCTTAACGGCTGCAGCGGCGGCAGTGGCATCCTACGCTCCGAGGAGCTTAGCAAAATGTTCCCCACGCCTCCCTCAATGGAGCACAATCCCATCTCGTCGCCGTGTGGTCATCTGTCAGATGGGCCCGTTTTGGACGCACCTGAGACGGTAACAGCAGCGGCTGCAATAGGCGCCGGAGCTACCCTGGTTGCCAGCTCGTGCGCGACACGTGTCGCGCGGCTCGACCATTACCCCAACTTAGGCAGCCCGTTGGAGGAACCCATCGAGGACTGGTCGTACGTGTTCCGACCTCCCATCGTGTGCACCTTCGTGGGTTCATCCAAGTATGCGCCTCTCACGGACCTGCCCAGCGCAGCGTTGCCAGTGGTGGCATTGCCCGCACACTGCGTCTACAAACCGTCGCGGCAGTTCGGTGGCGTGCAGACGCTGCAGGCGGACAAGGCGTCTTCAGGAGGGGGGTCGGCGGGTGCTGGCACCGGCGCTGGTGGAGGCTCCGGGCCGGGGGTACGCTCGGGACAAGCGACGAATGTGGCGTCGCAGCACACGGCTCAGGCTGGCGGTGGGCCGCCGTCGGGTGCGGGTCCCGGTGTGCTGCCGCCGCACCTTGCGCAACACGGGCACCTCGGCGCCGTGGGTCCGCCAGCCCACTTCCCACCTTCGCCTATGATGGGTGGCGTTCCGCTGCACCTGCAAAGCGGCCCTGGCGCGGGTGCGTTCCGTGGCGGTGGAACATCTGGCGCGGTGGGCGGCCCAGGTGGCGCGAGTGGGGGCGGCGTTGCGGCGGGCCCTGGCGCAGTAGGACTGCCAGGCGGGGCGAGAACACCCTGCCCGCCCCCACCGCCTTACGAACTGCCCAGCCCCGCCACCTCTACCGCCTCCTCCTACCTCAACAAAAACCTCAACTCTGTGGAAGCAGCCCCCACCCCCGTGCCCGCTCACGCGCCCGAGGCTAACGCGCTTGTCGTCAATTTGCTGTTGGGTGACACGGCTCTCAACCTCTTCCGCGATCACAACTTCGACAGCTGCACGTTGTGCGTGTGCAACGCGGGACCTAAAGTGGCCGGCAACATCCGCGGCGCTGACGCTGCTGTGTACCTGCCAGCGCCGCCCGCTCCTCCTCCGCCTCCCACGCCCGCGCCGCCCTATGGACCCGCGGGGTCGCCTTTCCCAGGACTGGGCGGTCCACCACCACCGTACGGGCTGCTGGGAGCTTCGCCTGGAGGCCACCATGGCGTACAGCCGTCGCCCGACGAGGACGCAATCTGTTGCACGTGCGGTTTCAGCGCTGTCGTCAACCGCCGTCTGTCTCACCGTTCGGGTCTCTTCTATGAGGACGAGCTGGAGATAACGGGCGTGGCAGAGGATCCGGCCGAGCGCAAGAAGGGATCGCTTGCTGCCTGGCTGGCTGCAACTGGCGTCAAGGTGCCTGCAAACCCCCTGACCAATGGCACCGGCGAAGGAGGCGCGGGTGGCGCCAGTGGCAACGGTGCTGGCGGTAGTGGAGGAAGTGCCACCACAGCGGAAGTGGTAGACAGTTTGCCACAGAATGTGATAGAGCTGGTGCGCGAACAGTGTGTGATTGTGCAAAGCTCTAGTAACTCTTTGTTTCGTGCCTCACGAATGTACAGAGGCCCTGCAGGACCCGGTTCTGTACCTTATGGTGTCACAGTGAATGCGCTCGAGTTCTCTGACAGTAATGAAGTGGCGTGTGTTGCTTTGGAGCAAGGTCGGCAAGCAATGCTGGAGAATGCCGTTGCAATGTGCAAGGTGGGTATTCCTTTTTTTGATCTGCAATGGACATCCTACTAATCTCTCACTTGGTCTAAAACCTAATGTAATGGATGCACCAAATATTTTCCTCATCCTTTTTTGGTAATGGCTATTTTTTCATCTAGCATTTCTGTGTTAAGAATCTGTGTTACCATTGAATATTTTAGAGTGGGTCTGTTTTGGGAATCATGGGTAAGAAGGTACATTGTGTAGAAATTTAAGTCAACAACAATTTTTTCTCATGATAGTATGGCCTTTCCATCGACTTTTTCAGTTCTTGCTGAAAACATATTGAATCTGTGGGGATGTGTTAATTGTTTTTTACGCATAGGACTTTATTTGTATGTTGTTTCTGACTCTTGTTATTGTACAGGATACAATTGATGTACCTTTCAATGAGTAGCTACAGTTTCATGTCTTTGAATATAAACTTCTCGAGGTGATGCTTATAATTAGAGCCTGGATTCCTATGTAATTACATAATGTATGTCTTTCTGGGTACTGTTCTCAAAGTCGTGATCTTAGAGAATCATTGCAATCCTACAGTGTGATGAATTTCTGATAAAACAGGGAAAATCTGGAAAATAAAGGTAAATTTAAATGCAGACATTATACAGGTATGTAAATGGCAATGACAAAAATGGTTCAGTTGATGTGATCCTGAACTTTGGCGGATGGAAATAATGACACACTGAGGTGACACAGTGAATAGTAGTAAGTTAAATGATGGTCTTTTAAAATGCCATGCGTAGTAATCACCAAATTATGGAAGATCTTTATAAAAAGAACATCTGCAACAATGACCCCTTTTTAGTAGATGATAATCAAAAAGTTAATATTTTGCATAATTAGTTTCTGATGGTTTTTTATGCTCTGAATTCTTAAATGTTATTGTCAGAAATTTCATCTATAGTCCACATAACAAGTAGTAATGAAAGCTGTCTTTACCAATATTTTTAACAAAACAGTTGGTAATCACATTATTTTATGGCATTCGTATTATAACCCTAATATCCCTTCACCAGTTATCTGTGCGCTGTAGTACACATTGCTGACATGGGAACTCTATGGATTACCTGTAATGATTACAGAACTTGCATTGAGGAAAATAGTGTATTGTTCAGAGATAAAACTACTACTGGTTCTTTTGATTTTAAACCAGTTTTTATGGTGATAAACATTCTCGAGTGTTATTCAAGTCCTTTTAACCACCAAAACGTAAGAAAAATATGTTCAGGTAAGACTAAAAGTGTTCCCAAACAAATTAAAGTAATATGAAATGATCATTGATTGTGAAGTAAAATAAAGTTTGTTTTGCTGAGTTTTAGCTTCCACTGCCACCTATTTAAATTATCGTTATAGAACAATGAGTTTTTGCAGTTTAATTTTCCAATGACTTTATGCTTGGCATGTTTTTGAATACACGTTTGCTGTTCAAAAGTATTTTCTCTATAATATATTTCAGGGGAAAATGAATACTAAATTTTATTTACATTTTTCATTTTTTTGAGGGGAAAAAAAGTATTTTCTCAAAATGGTTAAAGTTAATTCTATTGTTGCTGTGTCTGAATTTTTTCAGGAGTAGAAAATTGAAGTGGTTTAGTTTTAAAAATATGACTGGTTACTGTCTCAATTCATATTTTATAAACTAAAATGAAGTGTTTATTTTGTGGAAATATTATTTTAAAATATTTTTAGTTTCATTACTAAATAGCTTTAAAATAAAAGTATCTAAATTAAAAATTAGTGATTTCAAGGTGATCATGATGCAATTAAAAAATGTTAATATTATTAATTATATTAAAGAGCATTTAGGTGTTGAGGAAAACAAACACGCTCCCAAGACGCTTTGCTCTACTTTGTTGAATTGTCTGCTGAGATGTTCAAGATATACTTTACAAGCTTTTCTCCCTTTTTGTCCTCCTGGCAAAGAATTGAAACCATCTTTGTCATCAGTAAACAAATACTAAATGGGGCATTTTCAACCCAAACGCCTAATAAGGGCTGTAAGTTCAAAACAGTTGCACAAAGGTAGCATATCTACTTGCCTGTAAAGCCATTTTGATCTGCCAATAACACTTAGTCAAATCTAAAATTGGTATAAACTTAGCTTGAGCTACCCTTTCTATCCGATCATCTGTAATAGGAACGGAGTAAAACTTTGTTTTAGTTATATTATCCGTGCATGGATGTGGATCTTTTCTGTCAACCTCCACAAGTATTATGTGTAATGAGTAACGTGAAGTTCCTTCCTATTCCTAAAGATTATATGACTTTCAAGCCTTTGATCAATTTCTTTTCAAGTATCTTTTCTCCTCAAGGAGAAAATCTATATAGTTTATATAAAATGGGTTCATTTTTATTTAGTTCTGAATGATGTACCATTTGATTTTCAGGTTTTTAGGAAATGTTTCTTCAAATTTTAATATTACCACATGAATTTATTTTACCAGAATTGCTGACCAAATATCTTCAAGATGACTGGCTTTAAGAAATTAATTTCATTGCCCATTTCTAATGATTCAGTTTCTTTAATTACATTTTGTACCTCTATAATTTAATTAACTGCCTTATCTCTTTCTCTATCTCTCTGGAAATATGGATTTGTCATGTAGTAATGGTAAACTTTATCTTCAATCCTATATTTTTTTTAAAAATCGAATTAAATAATTGTTTCTGATATCTTTTTTATTACATCCCCTTTCCATTTTGTAGAGAATTTTCCTTTTCTTGGATTCATTTTTAAAACTTTACCCTCGTCTTTAAATTTTCTTTCTTTACATTTTCTGACATAATAGATTTTATTTTTATCTTCATTTTGCCTTGCAATTTCTTTAATTTCAGAGGGTATTGATCATTTTAAGGACGTATCCTGCTAGTGTTTTTTTTTTTTTTCCTACCATTCCACTTAAGTAAAGTTAACATCTCAATCTTCTGAATGTTGCCTATTATATGTTGTTGACTATCCAGTATCTGTTCCAACCACTCCTGAGAAATAACTCTTTTCTACAAATAGCTTCTTCAGTTTCCTCATCATGCATTTCATACATTGTCTCTAATGTACCGAACTGTTCATGGAAACTTGAACACACAATAATTAATCCACTTACTTGTGGACATGAGCAGTGGATTGGTTATTGTGGCAAAAATGCTTCACACAAGGAACCTTTTTGGACCTGTCTACTCTCTCTCAAAGCGTTCTAGTTGTTTTTTAGGGTTCCAAATGTGCCACATTGCTAGGCAGGGAGCAAACAACTTTGTTAACTTTTGACTTTTACCACAAGTAAACCTATTGAATTTACTAAATTTAAAGACTTAAAATAAATATTTTTGCACATAGAAAATTGTTTATAGGTTCAAGAGCATTAGAACATTTTGTAATTTGTTTTAGAAAACATTTGTCCCTAATAAGGTGTTTTTGAATTTAGGATTGATTTTTTTCTACAAAGTTGATAAATGGAGTAGGTGCAGTAATTGAAGAAATGCTGAGGTGGATTTTGAGTTGTAAACAAGTTTAAAAAATCCTCATTTTAGGTTAGAATCCATGATCACAACATTTTACATTATTTTGGCGCTTTTTATGAGGAGCAGGTGCTTTGAGGCATAGCAATTTTTATTCTGCAGGGTATAAATGAAGGAAAAGAGATTTAGGTGACTGGTTCAAATGGTCACTGTTCCCACACAATATCCAAATTTGTCATTACATAGTATTATATATTTTGTTGTATATTACATATTTTAGATATTTAAAATAAAAAAAAAAAAAAAAAAAAAAAAAAAAAAAAAAGAAACATTAATTTTATACACATGTTCAGAAGTGTGTTGTGATGAGCCAAGGTACTTCAAGTGAAGAAGACAGGCACATGATCTGTTTGGGTTCACCTTTGCCTGCACTGCCCGAGTTATCTGTGCTGTGACCAGTGCACAATAGTTTGAGAATGCTATCTTTAAGTGTGGAAAGTATCAGTGATCTATTTTCTGAACTTAAATTGCAAGTTTAGAGAAATATTGGTTATTGCAGATGTCTAGTGCTTTGAAGAGAATGTTGGTTTGCTGGGATTGTTGAGTTCCCCTGTTTGTTCTATAGCTCTCAAAGCTGCCAAATATACAAATGTATTCTTCGAAAGAGGGGGAAAAAAAAAAAAAGAAAGAAAGGAGAGAAAAATCCCTACTGAAATAGATCAAGGTGGTTTTATTTCTTAAATTGCATAAATCCTAAATTACTTTACTAAATTTATGTAATTTTGAATTATAAACATGTATTCTTTGTTCGAACATGTTTTACAAGGGCTCTTACGTACTCTAATGTTAATAGTGATTTTTTATCTTATATATTATATCCTATTTTACATATTCATTACATATTCTTACCACTTTCTTTACATATTCGTGTTTATATTTTACTATTTCATTCTATATATTTTTCCGAACTCTACTTAAAATTCCTAAGAGATTTCACATGTGTAAGGTATCACATGTGTTTGTGTGGAAAAATTTATAAAGAATATTTACTAATTGAAACAAGTCTACCGAAAATTGACCAAATGTTATATTTTTCATTCTGTTGCAAATTGATTTTCTTAATTGTTGTTTTGAGGGTAAAGGCTTGAAAAATCTACTTTAATGGCCCTTTCATGGGGTTTCTTATGAATCACCATCTTAGTATGCTATGGTATTAATGATTTACATTATTTCATTTCTTGGTTGGTTTTTATTTTTTGACTTATTTTGGAGTGCTAAAAGGATTCATTTTCAAGTATTTTTCTGTAAAAATGCAGTGTTCACTTTGCACATTCATTTTGTTAACTAAATGTTTCAAAAGAATTTCAAATTTAAAAATCATATTTCTAAATTGGTTTACTTTACAATATATTTGAGAATATGAGAAAAAAAGCTTTATTTTTTTCAGTTTTGTAGTAATATTTTGTATTGAAATAGTCATGCAGATAATGAAGTGTTTGGGAGTCAGTCATTGTCAGTAAATGAGTAACGAGCAAATTTCTCAGCCTCAATTAACAGTTCAGGTTGAGAAATTCTCAACATACGGACGGTCCTTATGGAAGTTTCTAACAGTTGTCCTTTATACACAGGTGGAAGAAATGCAGCAGCGTCAACAACAGTTGCTGGCCCATGCCAAAGGCCTGGTTGCACCATGTGTGCATAGGTGGCCACACTTACGTGCACGTGGCCCTTCATGCAATCAAGACATTGTACGTGTAATGAAGAGTTTGCAGCCTTTGTTACAAGATGCCATTCAGAAGAAGTGCACTACTAGATTGTGGGAAGCACCCTACACAGTCTCAGGACCTTTAACATGGCGCAAGTTCCACCGACTCGCAGGCCGGGGTGAGTTTATATATTTGCTTATAAACACAAAGTAAAACTTTAGTTTGAGATTAATGCTTAATAAGTTAAAATATGTGTATTAAGTCGACTATTTTTCATTTGATTTAAAAATTTTGAAGATTAATTACACAAACCACTTTCTGAGTGGGATTATGTGCAATAACCCTCCCCAAGTATATTATATCTAATGAAACTATGGCAAGTTTTCAAAAATATAAAGAAACATACTGTTATATTCCTTAACCTTGCAATTCACTACCTTTACTGTACACTTTAGTTGTAGCTTCATCATAGCTGTGTTTTATTTTGTACCATTTTCAATGGCACTTCCACAAATTCTTCAACAAATGTTAAAGTAAGTGATATATGATAATGGGTAATTATCATATATCACTCACTTACTTACAGAGATCAGCTATTTAGTTGTAAACTATTTTAGCAGCACTGCAGCAAATGGTTAGCGGGCGTGTCTTCCCCCCATTTAGAAAGTCCCATTCTAACATTCGTGCCAAAATAATGTCTGTTCTTGTCATCCAGAGTGCTGTAACATGCAAGAGAATTTGTTGAAGGGATATTTATCTCTATTCCTTTAGGTGAATGATGGAAAATTAGGTGTAAGTAGGTTGGAACATGCAGCTATAAAATTTCAGGTTGTATTTGCTTCTGCTTTGGCTTTCATTACTTGCTTTTTGATAAACCTGAAATTGGAAGCAAATCAATGACAGATTATGGAGGATTGTCAACTTATTTCTTCTCAATTACCCTTCGGAAGAAGGGGTGTTAGTAACCCCTTCTTGAGTATCTCCTTCCTTTGTACCTTAGACCTTAAGATAGTTTTTTATGATTTCTTAGGCAGAATGTTATTTTTTTTCCTTTTTATTTTTCGTATTTTTATTGTTTAATATGTTCAATAAGTTTTAATGTTCGATTATCCAAAAAATCTGATTTTTTAAATTTAAATAAGATTTTTTAAAATTGTATTAGATATTTTTTCTGTAAACCAAAATAATTATTAATTTATTTATCCTTAATTACTTTAAAAGAAGAAAAGAAGTTTATTAAATCATCAGTTTTTGATTCATCATTTTTAAAAAAAATTTAAGATACTATATATTTGAGGGGTCTTGTGCAATACCGCCCTAACCCACAAAATCTTTAAATTTGAGTTACTTATAGTTTCATACTCTTGGAATGCTTCTCTTATGTCCACATTACCGAATAAGTTTGTGGCACCATCCATTAGTAAGATTTAGAAAAAAGGCGTTCTTTGTTCAAAGAAATTTTACCATTTTTTTGTACAGTACGACCATTATCAAAAAGAACATATTGTTGAAAACAACTGAATTCATCGAAAAACTTTTAACAATGTTAGATGGTTTTTGAAATATTAAATTCCATGTTTTTTTACATAGTTGTCCTGTTTTTTGAAAAATCTGAAGTATAAAGGTTGTTACTTGCGCAATTTCCCATGAACCCTATAATGGTCAGTGGATGGAATGGAAAATGGAATTTAATCAAAATACAAATAAAGATAAAGGTTAATATTATTAAAACTATGAAGGTTAACAACTGTTTTCATTGGTTTTAGCATCATTAATATTTTTGTTCTTTAAATTCCATTTTTATTAATACTCATCATCTTTAAGATTTATTTTAATTAGCTTTAGCAATCATTTTAATACAAATCTAGAGTTATGGACACTGTTGGAGTTTTAAATGCTTTTTTTTTTAAACTAACTCAGTGTGTGTTAGGGTGGTATTGCTGCTAAATAAATTTTTAGCTACAAACAATTAACTGCTGGATAAAACTAATCAATTATCTAAGTCAATAGTATGCAGTATATAACTCTACTACAAATTGTTTATTATTCTTCGTTTCATAAGTTTGTTCATTCCATTGTTTATTATATTGTATTATATTGTATATTATATTGTGTTTTATTTTCTCAAAATTGTTAAATTATGTGAAGAAAGTTTCTAAAAAATATAATAGATATATTCTTTATATCAACTTTGTAATTGAAGTCTTTTAATATGAGTGATTTTTTATTTTCAAATATTTAAAATACAAATATATTTTTAATTTTTTTTTCGTAATAATTGAATTAATCATTGATTTTTTTTTTTTTAAATCATGATTTAAATCACTGATTCAAATCACATGATTTACATCATATCAGGCTTAACTTTAGCATAATTTGTAAATAACAGATTCCTAAAAATTTGAGAAGATTTCGGATGTCTTTGGCAGTTTTTTTCCCCCTTATCGTAGATGCTTTAAGACCTTGAAGTATTAATCTTATGGTTTAACGAGATTAAGATCGTAAGGTTAAAGAGTAAACTGTTTCCTCTTAAGACTGTACACAGGGCATCTTCGACTCTTCAAAACTCTCACAGAGCAATGCTTTGCATTGTTAGGTGTCAGTATTTTTTTGCAGTTACACAGGCATATTTGCTTATTCAATGATCACCCTTCCTGTGGCTCTTTATTAGGACACTTTTGTGGCATTGTCTAATAGGATGGAAGGTTTGCTCTGCTACATGAGTAACTGTGACATGTAACTGTTCATGCTGTGACCTTATTTCTGTGTAACAACATTATGCTCATGTTTTGCTCAATTTATTCATTGTTTATGAGTGCAATGTGTTCCATTGAGTGAGACTCAATATTAGATAACGTTATTTTATATCGAACCACACTTGACTCTGTACAATATGTTTTGTTAATGCTGGATGGTGCTAGTGTCTTGCAAGTTAGTTTTATTTTTAATAATATGTTCATGAGATAAAACTAGCCTAGCTATTTAAATATTTCTGTTATTGAATTCTTTAATTACTATTGCATGTGTAATTATGTGCAGGAACGGATGATCGTTGTGAGCCGCAACCAATACCTTCACTTGTTGTGGGTTACAATAAAGATTGGCTATCATTATCACCATATGCTATTCACTACTGGGAGAAGCTGCTACTTGAGCCATACTCATATTCACGTGACATTGCCTACATAGTAGTGTCCCCTGACAGTGATTTTATCCTCCAGCGTGTACGCACCTTCTTCAAGGAACTCAGTGCTACCTATGAGGTGAGTAAACAATGTGTTGGCTTTTACTAAAAGTAATGACTGTGTACTTAAAGGGAAGAGTGCATTTTCTTTTCAACTTTTACTATTAAAATTCTGTTGTAATTTTCAAATAACATTCTCATTATTGCAAAAACAACGCATTTTGGAATAATTTTGATTTGCAAGGTATTTTAAATGTTTAGAATCCTTTGGAACGTTTTTATAATGCTTCTTAAGCACAAATAATTTTTGAAATAGTCAAAGGACTAATAATATTCAAATAATTGAATTCCATTATATTTCTGGATTTTAATAAAGATTTCATTCCAGTGATGATTTTATCTGTTTGATTACTGAAGATATGATTTTTAATATTCAGGTGTGTCGTCTTGGTCGTCACTGCCCCATCACTAAAGTATTACGTGATGGCATTCTCCGAGTTGGAAAGACAGCTGCTGCGAAGTTGGCGAAAGAACCTGTTGATGAGTGGTTTTCTCTGTTGGGTGATAGTCCTACTAATAATATGCTACGCCTGTATGCACAGGTAAGCAATATATATCAATGTTGTAAGACCTAAATCTAGTAAGCATTGTTTTTAGAGAAGGGAAAGGTGTTTTCTAGAATAATTCTAAAATCAGCAGTAGAATGCCCATTGCCTTCATTTTGATGACTACTTCATATTCAAGTATTGTTTCCTTTTGAACAACGAGCAGTAGGGGATTGGGACCTTGTGACTTATAATGTATTTATGAAGTGAATAATATGTAAAATTATCAAAAATATTCAGCAAATCTTTGGTTTTAAAATTTTTTTATTGCATACTCTACTTTAAATGTTTTGAAGCCATCGTAATTGTGGCTTGCCTAACTGCTGAGCTGCACTTTTCTGGGCCAGTCTTTCTTAACTTTCTCATCTTTACTTCGTAAAAAGAGAAAGTATTGTAATCATATGTCAAAATACAGCAAATTTTTTGACAGAAAAACTTGTTGTCATACCGAGCAGTGGCAGTAATCGGGATCTGGGTTAATGACGTTACTCTTTAAGGATGGTTGTTTCCTTCTGCTTTGATAGTCTTTGCTGTAACTCTCATCAACCTGCTTTGAGTCCCTCTGCTGGACCCATACGTATATATTGCCTTTGCTTGAATTTTACAGTGCCTTTAGAGGATGTTGTCACATGTTTGCATTATGATGTGCAATAATTTTGATTCTCTTGTAATTCTCCTTAAATCATTCACATTATATCTTTTGTGTAGAATTATTTTTTTTTCCAATTTTGCCAGTACTAAAAACAATGAATTCAGACTAGGCTCATAAAATAATAATTGATAAAACAAAAGAATGAATTCACTGCAACTAAAAAAATACAGTGAATAATTGTATTACAAAGTAATAAGCTTACATAGAATTTGAATTCAACTTCTTCAAAGTATGGTCCTTAGCTAGCGGTTCTCTTGTCCTACTTTGAATCCATGACTGGAAGCATTTCTGGAAGCCTAAAGAGTCTGATTTTAATGTTTCATGAGCTTCTTTGCTATTTTTCTGAAACTTGAAACACATCATAATCTTAATGCATTGTTTGAAATCCATGATGTCCAATTAACATGGTAAACATTACCTGACTCTAGTGGCACTGGAAGCTGACTGTCAAGTCGGAATGTGTTCAAACTGACACTGCCTGTCTCAACAAATCAGGCTCTCAGACTGAATTGCATCACGTGGCTGTAGCATCAGCAATTGCTGCTACAAAATTATATCAGAGAATTTTTGGATCTCATGTCGTAACTGTGGAGTAAGGAGGAGAGAAATGATAAAGCAAAGTAATCTTTTTGGTGAATGGTAATTTCAGTTGGTGAATTCTGAAATGCTATTACTCTACAATTCATAACAGAAATAGACACCAACATCACAATTTTAATAGTCATTTAAGACTTCTATGACATCTTCATCCTTTCAGATTTCTAGATGCTCTCCCTGCCAGCTGAGACTGCCTTTTTTTCATGTGAGGTGACAATAGAACCTACCAAATTACTCCTTTCCAACACCTGATGTTTTTTTTTGGGGGGGGGGTCTTATACTCTTGTGTTTTTGCTTTACCTTACAAGCATAGCCCATTACTCCTATTGCCTTTCTCTGATATTAGTAGAATAGATGGACACACGACTGCATCTAGGTAGTGCCAGCTGTTGCCTAGAGATCCATTCTTAATGCAGCATGTTGCCACTTGCTCCCTTACATTTACTGGCAGGGAGACTGGCACAAAGGAATTGCGCTGTTTGGATGTAATGTGTTCTTGTCTTGTGTACCATGCTCCTACACCAGGCAGGCAGCCTAGGAAAGATGATGGAAAGAGTTCCTTGCATGCCCAAGGGGTTTTGAAACCCCAGCTCTTCTGTCCAAGTTTACAAGTCAATTTTAGTGGCTTATATTATTATTATTATTATTATTATTATTATTATTATTATTATTATTATTATTAATGAAAGGTTCAAATTTCTCCTATTAAAAGTAAATTTTGACCTCAAAAGAGAGGAGAGTGCATTTTTAAGCACCCTTCCCTGCAAAAAATATTGAAGTAACTGAAATGAAATCATTAGTAGGAATTAGTTTCTACTCTGCTCACTCAAAACTTTCTTGAAGATAATTAATTTTAATGTTTCTCTTAACACAGGACTTCTTTGTATTTCTGTATTATGCAGCTCTAGCTAAAACAGACATTATTGCAAATGTTCTCTGTGCAGATATTCAATGATTGGTTGCAAACGTTCACTCTGAAGTATTGTTTTTATCTATTTTCTTCTCAACTTATTTGTAATAAATAAATTTTTAATAAAATGGAAGATGTAGTTGGGAAAACTAAATTGAGAATTGGATTTATTGTTTTGAGTTTTACATGTCTCTGCTCAGGTTTGTCGGCATCACTTAGCACCACACCTTTCCCAAGTTCCAATGGATCGTTCGCTACTGGACCCTGCAGAAGGAGTGCAAAACAACCGCACAAGTTTAGATCGGCCTTTGCCATCCCCAATGCCACCACCTTCAACGCCAGAGGGTGCTGCTGCAGCAGAGAAAGCTCCTTCGACACCCAAATCGGACCATGGTAAGTTACAGGATCTCATGAAGAGAGAGTTGTGTAATGTGACTTGTAAACAGACTAAAACTCTGTTTTATAGATCTTAAGTCCTGTTGAGGGGAAAAAGGGGGATGATGCCTCTTTTTGATATGTTAGGATGTATTAGAATTTCCTATTAGGAAATCCTAAAAAGAAAGACGTATTGCTAGTTTTGGCTTGATTGAAATACTTATATAAAAATATTTGTATGTAATTACTAATAGTAAAACGGCATATAATCCAGTAGATCAGGAGATAATTGTAGGAATGTTTCTTCTGGTTACTTCCATAGATTTTTGTGCACGTTTATAATTTTTAAAATGAATCAAACCCTTGATAGACAAATCAATCGTTAGTAAGTATGGCTCCATAATATTGCATTCTGTTTGCCTAATTGAAGCATTCTAGGTTTTGTTGATAAATAGTAGTTTTTGCTTTTAGATATCATTTCAGTCGTTACATTATAAGGTTTTATTTCAAATTGAACATAAATTGTGGACAGTTTTCATAGAAATGCTCTTCTACATAAAAAGAAAACAATGTAAAACAGATGCACATAGTGTATAATGTACACCAACTAATGTAGCCAATATTTCAAATTCATGTTTTCTTTTCTTCTAGAATTTTCCCCAAGAAAAAATCTTGATTTTTAACATCATGCCTTTTAATTACAGTGGTATTTAATGGTAGTTGACTACCTAGTGATCACAACAGTCATGATGATAGCAAAATGGAATAAAATTAGGCCAGGAAAGACACAAACATAAGGAATATCAAAATGAACTGAGAAGAAAAAAGTATTAAAAAAATTCTATCAAAATCAGTGACATTTGCCTAATATTAACTGCTGATCAAATGCTCCAAATGTTGACTAAGAAAATTTCTACAAAACAAAACTCATGAAATGAAGTGTATATTACTGAGAAAAGATTAATGTTAAACAGATATAGTGAAACATTTATTTTCTTTCTTAATTGAGGGTACACTTTGTGTGGGAGGAAAATATCAATGGCAGAAAGTACACATTTTAAATTTATTATCTACTTTAATTTTCACATCCATAAATAGTATCAGCTGAGATAGTAACAGTACCAATAGAGGAAAACTAAAACATAAAATGTATATGTAAAACTTTATATGCTGTTGAAATACTTTTCGGTTTAAATAATTTACCTTCATTAAAGTTTTAAGTAAGTCTATCCTTTCCATTTTCAACTTTCTGCTGCATTTCAAACCCTCAATTTATGGCTTTTTTTAACAAAATAATAAGAATAATAAAATTATTTTTAAAAACAAGGAAAACCAAATCATCAACAACAACAACAACAACAACAACAACAACAACAACAACAACAACAACAACAACAACAACAACAATGCTCTTATATTAGAGACTGCAGTGGTTGAAGTGAGTTAAATTGGGTATTGGCCATAAATAGGCCAATCTTCTCTGATTTCCTCATGATCCTGATTTATACAATGCCTTAATTAATTACTTAAATGGATTTTTTTCTGAGTACACATGCAGGCAAATTTAATCGTTAAGGTTTGCTCTAAATATTTTTTTAGTTCAGTTCAACGAGATAGAATATATTACGTAGTGGGGCTGAAGCGCCACCATCTTTGAAGCAAATTAAAGCCATGTTTTTTGCAATTAAAGCAGCGTCCTTTGGGAAACAAAGTATTCTAGCATTACGTTTGGCACTGGTTATAGTTACACCACCACTTGTATGTTTTGTCATAAAAAAAACATGGCACCCACTAGTTCGGAGAGCCTCCACCAAGAGTGCTGAAACTATAGGGACAGCCACTCTATGTAGTGTATTTTAACTTGTTTGTTCAGGTGGAATCTCAGTTTTCCAATTTTAATTTTTAGATGGTGAGGGTAGTGGAAACAGTCGTGACCCACTATCTGGCAGTAACACTATAAGCGGGGCAGCATCAGAATCAGCCCATGATGATGACAGTCAGGAACCACCAGCCATTGTGGTGTATTTGGTTGATCCCTTCACAATGGGTAGAGACTCAGTTGAGATGCAACGGATGGCCTGTCTCGGATTGCTGCGTTGCTTCACCACGGTGCTAGCTGCTGTTCCTGAAACTGTGCGATCCAACATCAGTGTGCAAGTATGTAGCAATGTTTGGAAATTGGCATACCTGCTAAAGAAATAGTTCTCTTGTATTAATGTATTATATTCTGTGAAACCCTCAAATACAGTGATATAAGTATGGGTGCTATATGTTAAAATGGGTTTATTAAAAGGTATTGAGTATTTTTATGTACAGTAACACCTCTTTATGGATTTTGCATTTGTTTTTTTTACATTAATTTTTTGTTTTTAAGTCCCAGCTCAACTTCCCCTGCTAAATTAATTCAGATACGTATTTATTTATCTTTCATGCTTTTATGATCTCAATAAAATATGTCCCTGCATGACCTTATCGTCAAGTCAACTCGTGGAAATAACTACCTTTCAGGGAGCCAATTAATGAATTAAAACTTTTCATGAAGATCAGTTTCCAACATAGTATTCCGCATTTTACAGTTGTGGTTTAGGGCTTTCTAAGAGGAAACACTTTACTCATTGTGCATATTCACAGTTATTACAATAAGATAATAACTAGAGAAATGCGCTTTATGCATTTGCATATTCACTTTTTTTTTTAATTGATAAACTCATTAAGGGTCAGTGTATCCAAATACAATATATTTACAATGCACATAATTTTGAAATAATTTGGAACATTTTGAAGAGTAATGCATTTCCCTCTTAATTCAATGAAACCCAGTGAAGGTTTTTGTCACATTGGGACACAGTTTATAGTTTTTATGTAGAGTTCCTTGTACATAAGAAGTTGAGTACCTAAGAATTGTATTTTATTTTATGGTCAATTTCAATATTTTGTGTAAATATTTGCTTTCATTGTGTAAATTTGAGCTTTTTTTGGATAAAATGCATATCTGATAATAATCAACATAATGACTTCGGTGACCAATAAACGAGCACAATTATATAGAGGGGCCCAAGGATTCTGTTTTAAGTTTGTCATTCAGGTTTTTTGAGTTTTGTGGGACCAACTTCCCCAACTCTCCATTGGAACTGTGAGGAAAACTTGAGAGTGCAAGGATATGATGTGCTAGTGTTGTTGGGTGCAACTTGTGTAATATATGCCAACATTATTTCCACAGACATTATTAAATTAAGTGAAGAGGCTATTCTACCATATTCAATTAGGTTATTTAATGTATCAATAAACAACGCTTGTATACCGGAAAATTGGAAGCTGGCTCTCGTAGTACCTATTTTTAAAAGTGGCGACAAGACAAGTAACTATAATAATATCAGTTGTATGCAAACTTATGGAACATCTAATTTCAAGCAATATCAGGAAAGAATGGGACTTAGACAAATTACACATCTGGGTAGAAACAAACGGCATGGAAATAAACAATTCAAAGAGCAAGTCTATCACATTTCGTTGGGGTTGAAGTTATATTGAATCTGCGTACAAACTGAACAATAATGTTATACCTTGAGTCACGTCTTGCAAATACTTAGGAATACAGCTAGACAGTATATTGAGCTGGGAAAATCAAGTTTATTTCATTGTAGGGGAAGCCTGGAAATCTTTACAGTTTGTTATGTGGATACTGAAAAAGAGTACAGTGAGAGCGAAAGAACTTGCATATATGTCATTAGTGCGACCTATATTAAAATATGGCATGGTATGTTGGGATCCATACAGAATTTTGCAACAAAGTAATCTAGAAAAGGTCCAGCGTAGAGCATCAACATTTACTTTCAGGGACACCAAGAATAAAGGGGTATGGGAGTCACTCGAAAGGAGGAGATAAAAGTCGCGTTTTTATGCAATGTATAAAGCGTACACAGGCCTTCGAGCGTTGGAAAGAAATTCAAAGTCGATTAGGGAAACCTACATATTTTGGCAGAGCGGATCACATGCACAAAATTCAGACAATTCAGAAAACGGACGTTGGGAAATATTCATTTGTGAATTGAACTATTAGGGACTGGAACGGTTTGCCTGTGACAATCTCCGATCCCTTTCCTCAATGCCTGAGCAAATTTAAAAATAAATTATTTTCTTGAATGTTGATATGTGTGTTATAAATATATTTAATAAAATTCAGTGTAATTAACTATGTCTTCTATGCAATTAAGTATTATTATTATTATTATTATTATTATTATTATTATTATTACTATTATTATTATTATGTGCAGTGCAGTGATGTTCTGAAAGTGAGAGAAACGAGTAGTGTGTAAGAAAGACATTACAGCTCACGGTTTTTCAGTGTATTGAAGTGAAGTGTGTTGAAGTGGGGTTCTATGAAAGATTTCACGGTGAAATGTTCATGTGAATTTGTAAAGTTTGTAGATTTTGTAAAGTTGTTAAGTTCTTTAATGTGAAGTTAGTGTATTCTGCCACCAAGTTCTCACACTTAATTGCAGAATTATTAATAAATCTAATCTAATTATCCAATACATGTCAGAATTCAAGTATTTATGGGTCAGTTGTGACCTTTCGAGGGTGAAATCTTTTACCATTGATGAAGGGAAATGCAAGTTGACATTTTTTAAACATGAGAACTTTCTTTCAAGGGAATTATATGCACATTATAAAACTAGAAAATTATTAAACTAAAAGAATATATCAGTCAAATATTGTTTCCCTTCAGTGACCTAAACATTGTTTAAATGAAGTTTTACTTATGTTAAATGATATTTAATTTTGGAAATAGTTCAGTTCAAAGAGAGGTTGTATGTCAGTCCTAGGTATTTCTATATTATAATTGATTTCTTTCATGAACTTTGTGAATTAAATTTGCTTAATCTTATTAGAAATGTAACAAAGTATTTGTTTTTATGTTTTAGCTCATCTCTTTGGAGAGCATTGTGGAACTGGGCAAGTCTCGAGATCGTGTTCGCCAAAATGACCATATGCGTGCCCAGGCCTTTTCAGTGTTTGCACAATGTAGGCGCCTGCTTACTCACACATCCACTGTCAAAGCTCTTACTGGTTTTGGCACTGCTGCAATGGCTGATCTCTTCCTCAAAAGCAAGGATGTAAGTTTTAGTATTTCTTTATTTACTTGTGTTTACAGAAAAATTGGGAAAACTGTAAGTGTATGGAGATGTACAAGCTGCACATGTTTTGTGGAGCTTCAGAACCCCTCTTTTACTATACATTGTTCAGTTATGAATAAAGGTACCAAAAAGCGTGGTTGACAACATTTGAAAACAAGACATTTTTTGTCCTGTGTAGTAGAAAATTTGCATTGGCGCATGCTCTACGAATTTGATTTTCAGTTGTTTATTTTTTAGTATGCTTACCTTTTTTTGGTTGCATGAATTGCAAGGTGACGGTATATAAAATACTTTACAGGGCTTTAAATAAATCTACATCTTTTAGGAATTCAAAAACATTATATACTTCAGATCTTTTAGTGAGAAATTTGGGGACAATTTGTAAGTGAAGGAGTATTACTGAATCTATTAAAATTTGTTGGAGAGTTACAGGGATGTTGCAAGATGTACAAAGTAATGGAGATTCTTTCTTAAACAGGTGTGAGTGGGTAAGACTGCCATGTCTTCAGCAAAATCGTGCGAGAGTAATTTCTTCTCTTTTTGTTTGAACTGAAGGAGCATCGTTATCAAAAATACTTCTTCTAATTTTGTGGAGGTGACTTAGAAAATTATACCACTTAGTGTTTCCGTGGGGCTCACAATGTCTATGTTGTTCTTTTTTTATGTCCCTGTGTGAAATGTATCTTTTCTTGAAGAGGGAGTTCTGTTAATTGGTTAGCAGCTAAATCTAGTAGGTATTGTTGGAGAAATATATAACACGTACTCTCCTTGTATCTAATAAATCAAGAACTCACGACAATATGTGCACAAAGTGAAACTACATTTACAGAAGCAAAGCAAAGGTGCATCTCAACTTTTTCTCAGTGGATCAAGTTGTGGACAAAAGTGTGATCTAGATGTGGGGTCATTGACCCAAACAGTCATAGAGTGTTATAAATGTTTTCCAATCATCAAGAATTTTACAATACCAAAGAAAACTATTAGCATTAATATCAGTATTGAAACAATTTTGTTTTTTGTACCTAGTGTAGTCTTTGTTGTATCAAAACGTATATGCAGCCAGAAATATTTTACTTGGCATTGAAACTTGTGAATCAGTTTAACCTTTTATCTACGGAGTTTTTTCTTTCTACAGTCCTAGTGGGAGGGACTTTTTTAAAGAGAAGCATATGCTTGACCCTTAGTGCAGTTTTAACCACAGCAAGTGTTGTTGAGGGCTGATGCCAACTAGTTTTACATAGGAAAGCAACGGTTTATGCTAATGCGTGGCTAATGCGTAATGTACAGTTTATGCTAATGCGTGGAAATATTATGCGCCAAATAAAAATAAAAATTGAAAATAACACAGTGGATGAAACATTTAAACATGAATACACTATTTGTAATTTTTTTATTTTATCACTATTTAAAGCACAATAATTATGTGTTCCTGCTCAAACGAAAGAGTAAAATTATCTTTCTTGTACCACTTAATTATTAGATTTGTTTCTAAATTAAATTAAAATTATGCATAATTTAACAAATTTGTTCAAGTCAATTGCAGTGCAAACTCTTAAAAATCCATTACATATTGCAAATGGCTCTCTCTGTAAATCTTCAATAATTGGTTGTTTGCATACAGATGTTAATAATAATAATAATAATAATAATAATAATAATAATAATAATAATTATTATTATTATTATTATTATTATTATTATTATTATTCATTTTTCTGATAGTTGTTCTCTAATATTTAAAAAACAAAATTGTGTCGCTGATAAAAGTGTATTTACAAAACATCTGAAAACATATTTTTCTTGCTTTCCCGCAGAAAAAAAGATGTTCATGTACATACGAACTTCTCAAATCTGAAGAAAGTTATTGGGATTTTACAAACAAAGTGTGAAGCGTCTTCCTCTTATCCTTATTATTTTTAAATTTTTTCTTCTGTATTCAGACGTCATCTCCAGGCAAAAGTAAACTTTCATAATCCTCTTAATTTGCTTTTAAGCCAAGACTCACTGTAAATGCACAGAATGACGCAGCAGTCTACAACCTCTCACATTGTGTTTCCGGACCCTTCTCTATCAATGTCTTGCATAGGGTGGGACTCCAATATGTGGGAATCACTGCCGGTCCACTTATCATCAGAAAGTGAGAGATAAGAGATGTAACACACACCTCTGGAGGTCAGGCGAGAAACATCCCATTCGTACTGCTGAGTTGAAAATCTCTGGGAAAACTGTTTCCTTTTGTAAGTAAGAGGTTAATGAAATCCAACAGGTTTTTGCAAAATAACGTACATGAATTGTTGTCCATGCCAAAGAGAAGATTGTTTTAAACAGGTTCTGTAACAGACGAGCATACTGTTACATTATAAGAGTCAAATATTGAAGGTTTATTAATCCTTATTATAAGTTGTGTACATTATATGATCACAGAAGAAATTCTTTTGTTTCTGGTAAAACTTTGTAGCATGGATGATTAATTTTCCCCAGTTACTCGTTTCTTGATTTATTCATGATGCATATGATGGGTATGTTGGATTGCATGTAATATGGATAGCTGTTCATTATGTATTATCAGTATTTTGTTTTTCTTTGACTTACATTTTTATTATTTTAATTTGTTATTATTACAGTGGATGAGATTTCAATAATAAATAATTTAGTATTGTATTTACAGTTCATTTTATTCTTTCTTTGTAGGAGAAGAATCGCCAGCCTTATCGCCTTTATACCCCTCCATATGTATTGGCTCCTATTAAGGACAAAAATGAACCAAGTGAATCATTTGGGCAGCTGAATGAAGGCCATTGCTCAGTGTTATATGTCAGCTACTGCCTATCGGAAGACCAAAGGTGGCTGCTTGCAGTGGCAACTGATGAACGTGGGGAAATATTTGAAACTGCAACAATCAATATTGAAATTCCAAATCGGAGTAGACGCAAGAAGGCATCAGCCAGGCGCATTGGTCTTCAGAAACTAATGGATTTTATCCTGGGTGTAATGTCTCAGAGTATTCAACCATGGCGGCTGGTTGTGGGTCGCATTGGACGTATGGGTCATGGAGAATTGAAAGGTGAGTGTGAATGAAAATTACAGAAGTGATATAAAATGGTGCTGGAATGTCCAAAATGAAATATTGGAAGTGAAGGGATACAGTTACCTGGAGTTGATAGAAACCAGTTCCTTGTACTGCTGGTGCTATTTAAGATGTCACATAAGTAATTTTTCCTATTTCCAAGGTTGGATATAAAATTGTAAGGGGGATACAAATTTTCCCTCGATCATGTTTCTACTGATTATGATTTCTTGCATAGCTGATGTTCAGGAACTTGTGATGATTTCTATGTAGAGGTTTTAACAGACGTATGAAACCAATAAAAAATATTATGAATTTTTAATCTTAACTCTGAATAGTAAATTCGAAAGTCATGGAGTATGAATTTTGATAATTGTCACTCTCTGCCTAGTGCAGTGAGTTGACAAACTGGTGATTTTTGACTGAACATATTGCTGTTGCATCTGCAATATTTAGAGAACCTATAATGACTGCGAAATAGTCTCCAAAAGTGTGTTTGACTGAAGGTGCTATGAATCTTTGGTGCTCTTTACCACATTTACCCAAATGTAAGATTTTTGTTCCAGAAAGTCTCATTGAAAAAGTACAGTGTCGTCTTGTATTCACAGATTAAACGTTATCAGTTAAAATTAAATTTTTATCATTGTTATTCCATGTTATAAAACTTATAACAATTAGCTGCAAATTATCATGTGTATTTTAATGCCTTATTACTAGATTACTATATAAAGGTATTTGCGACCATATTATTGCATCCATTGTGAATTTGTGGAGGATTCAGACCAATAGTTTTGAATGGGCTGGTTAAGAGAGAATTTCAAGTGAAATGTGACGTGATAATGATAAAAAATTGTTTCTGAGATTTTGTTACACAATTAGCTTATAGACAAGGTTTGCAAACTGTTAAATGCCTGGTGAGTGCAAATAGGTTTTCTCAAGAGAAGGAAATGAAAAGAATTCTCCTTGACAGAAATACACATTCTGCATGCAACCCCAGAAAAGGGTGATAAAAATAGTGTATTATGGAACTTGTTCATAAGTTATGGTTTATTGCATAAATAGGCTGTACATGTTCTGAAAATCAATGGATAGGAACCAGTTTTCAAATTTGTTCGAATGCAATGAAGTGAGTTGCTTAAGTTTTTTTTTTTTTTATATAATAGCATTGTAAGTTTGTAAAAAAATCAATATTAATTTTGAAAACAAGTTTTGAATGCAATTTTGCAGTTGTCAACATGAAATGTTGGTACTATGATGTCACGCAGAGAAAACAGTTGAGGAGAAAATAGGTTGCTCTATAAAATTCCATGGGTTTCTTCAAATTACCTTTTATGAACAATTTGTTCCATTAGAATCTGTCATTTATAATGCTAGCCGCAAATATATTTTCTTAGCAAAAACTTCCCAAACTTGGAGTCTTGCCGCTTTCTCCTGTGGTGCCCAGGAAACAGGGGAATGGGGGTGAACAAGTTTGCAGTTCACAACTCTATCATTTGAAAATTAAACTATACAAATTTTAAGTATATTCTATTAAAGAATGTAACAGAACTATTAAAGAATTGAAGGTCACAAATGAGTGGGGGCAGTAAGAAAATATAGTGGCACAGAATGGAATCTTCTTAGGTAGCATAAGACAAAAGACATCCCAAATTCAATGCCCAAAACTTCCAGACTAAAGACTAGAGACTAAAGAGTCAGAGGAGGCACAATGGGAGGAGGTCCAAAAAGAAAGAAAGAGAGTGAAGATGAAGACAGTAGTGAGAAAAACAATGGTAATGATTATTTAAGGAACAAGAAAATAGTGATAGCTTAAGTAAATAAGTTTTAACATTCTCATGAAGACAATTTTTTGTCAATTAGACAATTTTAAATTTTATTTTGACAAAATTGTAAGCACTAGATAAACATTTTAAGAATTCTCAGGAAGAGTCTTCATAATTAGGGTCATCTTATATACAGAATTGATTTACCGTATTTACCCAAATGCATATCGACACAGAATTAAAGACAACTTTCTAATTTTGAAGAGGCCTCTTGAGAATTATTTTAACTTTTAACCTCACTTAACTATTTAGAAAGAACAAAATTGCAAATTTCTATTTAGGAGGATGGTACACACTTATTAAAGACTTAGATATTATGTTTGGGTTACATGTTTCTTTGTTTTTGGTTCTCCTCTCATAATGTGACATACTCTGATATTTTAGGACCCTCTGAAAGTTTTGCGCTTGAATTTTCATTCCGCGAAGCCACCCTCAAATGGTCCCTTCTGTGTCATCCGATTTTCCTCCTGACCTTCACAGCACTTGATTCTTTGGCAGTTCTTTCCATTCTTCGTGTTTCTTTCACATTCTTTAACAGAGTATACTGAAAATTACATGTTTAATGTTCGCATTATTGAGTTATGAACTGCGAACCTTAACATCTACGTTCTTCCATTTCACAGGTATCATTGGAATTAATGGCAAGTTTCAGAAATTAGAAGTTTTTGTTCAGGAAATATTTTCATCATCATCTTTTTGTATATTTGAGTTTAAAATGTGTTCCTATCAATGAGCATTTTTTCATTTCCATCGCTTGTGAAACTGAGATTTGCACTCGCTGGGCAATCAACTAAGAATCCGTGCGACTTCATTGATCAGCGCATCATATCACAAAATCTTGGCAACATTGTGCATTCATTTTCACATGATACTGCGATTCATTTGAGATTCTCTCTTTAGCAACCCATTGAAAAATATCGGCCTGAATCACCTGACAAATTCTTGGGGTATGCCGAGAGTATGTCTGCAAATATAATTACCTATTATATATACGTGCTATTTTATAATCTTTGCATCTAATTGTTTCAGTCAACGCTTACGAGTTTTATGAAACATAATGACAATGTAGAAACAAATGATAACTGATTATGCTTATTGTGTGAATTTAAGAAGACCCCATGTTTTTCAAATGAGATAGTAAAGAAAAAGCTTTGTCGTATATTCAGGTAAACAGGGTATATTTCGGTAAATACGCTAATTTGAAATCTCAATACCATAGAAGATTGACAGAAACGAATGTAAATAATATACTTAGTAATTTTTAAACCTTTTTTGTGTACTGGTAAATACAGTGAAATCTTACTATTAAAGTTTTCAAGAGATTGAAAATTTTGAAAGTCATGAGCGGAAAAACGTGCTGACAAAAATTACTACTTTTCATATTTCTGTTTGCAAATTATTATAATAGAGAAACCATGGATATGTACATAACAAACAAATATCCAGGGGATGAACAATGACACTGAATAAAACTAAATTACACAAGAAAAGCTCTCAAAGTATTGAACGTTCCCCTAGTGGGCTGTGTGTGTTGAAAGCTAAAAACCGTACGTTATCTTAACTTTTTCAGTTGTAGCTTGAACTTGAACGTCTTGCTTTAGCTGTAGCACAACGTTTTAAGAGCACTCATGTGCTGTTTCATGTAAGATACAGCATTAATCGATGACAAATTTAGAGACCTGTGTGCATAGGCATTGTCGCATGTTGTCACAGCTGATGGCACAGAGGGTATGATGAAACGCGTTTCTCTGGCTCTGAATCAGACTGAAAGTGAAAGTAGTACCCAAAAGCACCTTGAAAACAACGCACAATGAAGATGGTACTGTTGCCCGGGAATACGCATCTCTTTTGTGAAGGATGTTACCTGTTTCCATTCCATTTTGAACGTGCTAAGCGGGATTATAAATGAATAATTTCATGGAATTTGGACCGGGACTTAAAAATAAGCGGGAAAACATGATGACAGAAAATGTGCTAACTAGATTCCTCTGTACATACTTTATAGAAATGTATTAATGCTTCAAAAAATGTTTGTCAAATTTTGCTGGAATAATTATTTTTACTGACGCACAAAAGTGTTAATTCTTAAAATGTCCGTCATTCAACAACATCACTGCTTAAACTGTCCACAGGATTTCTCTAATAGATATTACACAATTGATGAAGGTCCTGTGAATTTGAAACTGAACCTAGGATGAATCCCCGTTGTAATTTTTAGATTTTTCTAACGTTACTTCCTGTAAAGGTCAAATAATTTTAGACCCTCTCCTGGGATTACGTTACGTGTCTATTGAACCTAGTGAATTTTTTTTTTAAACTAAAATGAATCTTCAAAATTAGATCTATAAATGTTGTTATGCAATTGTTTCAAAATGTGAATATTTTCCTGTAATAATCAGAGTATTTGATTCCAAAAATAATTTTATAATTAATTTATAATTCATTGTACTTATGGACTCAAAATATAAAAAAATATTCGAGTGTAAATATTTCCCTTATTTGTTAAACCTCTATCTAAATTGCTCTCTGATTTAATGTAAATGTAAATTTCATATAATCTGGGTAGTTTAGTTGTGTTCAGTTTATAATGGCATTTGTGCATTTTTGGAATGGAGTTTGTGCATTTTTACATATTGTACAGAGTTTTCCTCAAACAATACCTCTTTCATTGGATGCTTTTCGTGGCAATAATAACAGAAAGAAAAACTGGCTTACAGAAAGTAATTTATCAATTAAAGAAGAGATCAGATGATTATAATTTGAAACTTACATTGAGAAACCTTTGAAAATCTGTAACTTCTAGGCCAGAAAATCACATTTACTAATTATGCAATTAAAATTGTGAAAACTAGGTCATCTTATGTAAAAAAGTGGACTAAAGAGAAAGAAAAGGAGGCCCAGTAATGAAGGTCACAAAGTTGATTATGACTTTTTCAAAGAACAAAAGGTCTTTGCATTGAAAACATTTTCAGACAATGTCTCAGTTTTGACTTAATTTGTCCTTGAAATAATAAATTGATGAAAATATTATATTTCAAGTAGTGGAATTTCTCAATATCGAACAGCCCTGGAGCAAAAATATATGACTTATTTAGATGTGTTCACTTTTCGGATTAAAATATAGAATGTTACTCATTGCATTAAGCTTATTACAAGCTTCATGAACATAATATATTTCCCACATTCCAGGAGCAAATTCATACAGAGAATTCACATGTTCGTTTGTCAACTTCTTAAACACATGTATCGGGAAATGAAACTCTTAACTGTATTATTTTCACAATTTCAGGATAGTATTTTTGTTTTGTAAAGTGTCATTGAGTTGTTTTTCTAACAACTGTGTGGGTGGCAATGATCATTAAGTTTGAGCGTAGGCTTTCGCGGCCGGAGTCGGTATTTACTTGACTGCCCGGGTGACACTGTGTCCATGGCGAAGGCCGACGATTCGGTCGCCATTTGCGACCTTCCTCAATAGCATTATGCCCTGAGGAAGGTCACAGAATGGCGACCGAAACGTGGACACCTTCGCCATGGACGCGGCGTCACCCGGACAGCCAAGTAAATATATCATTAAGTTCATCTTTTTTGTAGATGTTTATTTCAACTTACTCCTTAACAAAGTCATTTTGTTTCCACAGTGTTCTATTATTCAGGTCACAAAGTTTTCAAGATAATCATTAAGAGTACTAGCTACTGTCTGCACGATTAAATATAAATACATTCGGTAGAAATGGAATGATTCATGCTAGCTCAAAGTTTAGTACGGAATTGGGTCAAATTCCAGGAATTGCAACAGTTTTATTCTAGGGTGTCCGTTATCAAGAAGTTTTAAATTGCATTGTGGTTTCAGTGTCTGCGTCGTTTATTGAGATGTAATTTTACCATAAAACTCTCATATTTTGTTCCTATTTATTTTGTGTATTGTTGGTTCAGCCATGTGATTAATTTTTTTACCCCTCATTCATACCAAACTAAATTGTGATGCATAGTCAGTAAGTGACGTGTAAAAATACTTCGCTTCTCATTTCATGAATGTTGGCTAACCAGTGCTGGGACTGTGCTACTCTCCGTATTTTGTTGTACTGTCAGGTGGATAATGTTTACATGAAAACAATTTACGTTGCTAGAAAAATCAAGAAAAATGCACCTAAAAACGTCTATTCAAGGGATTATTATTTACACAGATTATTTGTTTGTTCAAAGTTTATTTATTGCAAGATTTATTGAAAAGTGAAAGTGAACAATGCAGGTTCTTTGAAAATCGGGGGCTAAGTTTACCTATAATGTGTCTGCCCTCAAATTAAATTCTCTATCAGAGACATTATTCTAATATTCATGCACATGTTTCCACATAAATTGTATTGATTGTTACAATATTAATTTTAGCAATATCAAAAAAACTAAATCACTTGCAGGTAGAAAAGTATCCTGAACCTCCATCTATGCTCACTGAAGCAAGTCTTACCTGGCATTTTTATCTGACATTCCAGCTCATTTGGCTCATCTTGTTAGTGGAAAAATACATTTTGCAACACATGCAGTTTTTGACAATGCTCATTTTTTAACAGTCAAAATATTTGTCCGCTTGCCTGGAGACATCTGCATTATATGTAGCTGACCAGAGGTTTTACTGTGATATTTCTTATGTTCAGGCTGGAGTTGGCTATTGAGTCGGAAATCTTTGGTCAAGGCTTCCAAACACCTGAAGGATATCTGTAATCAGTGCAGCCTGATGTACCCATCTGATGTACCCTGTGTCTTGAGTGCATGTCTAGTTTCTCTGGAACCTGACTCCACATTACGTTTGATGCCTGATCAGTTCACTCCGGATGAACGGTTCAGTCAAACATCAGTCAATTGTCAGCTGTCTACTCCTCAGGATATGTCTTGCACTCATATCCTTGTGTTCCCCACATCAGCAACTACCCAGGTATGGCTTATTTTGAGAAATATATACTGCTTTTCAAACTGTATTATGTTGCTAAATATTTATATTGATTAAACAACTCTTTCATGATTAGAATTGGCAAAATATTTTTAATATACATCACAATCCTCTGTCCCCAATTCTATTAGATCACAAGACCAATTTAAATCTCAATATTTCTTGAAAATACTACAGATATTAGGTGTTAAAATATGAAGTTTTAGTGGGGAAAATGACAGTGGTGCCAAAGCACTGAAATGAACAGATAGGTTTAGGTTAGGGGTCAAAATAATAAACTGAATTGCATGTTGTGTTAATGCATGCTTCAGCTAACAAATGCTTTAAATATCATTGTATTAAATAAAATTGATTTTTTATTAACAGTCTTCAGAAATTTGTGCTTTCAGAATTTAGTTCTCAGGGAAAGGACCTTGTCATGTGATATTCATTTAAGAAATTGCAATATTTTCTAAATATGGCAGAGTTTTAATTGTTTTTTTCCCTTTATGTGCAGTCATCTCAGACAACATTTCATGAAACCCACATCAATGGTCCAGATCTTGATGATGATCTATTCCACGTTCTCAATGATGAAGGCATTGATGGCTTTGATGATATTTTCACATGGCCAGAGACAGGACCAGGTGGTGTGCAAAGTCCTACAGGCAGTCCGCGACGGGATGACTCGTTGTCACAACCTGGCAGTCCTGGATTGGCAGGGACATCAGATCAACCAAGCCCATACCCAGCTTGTAATGGCTCCTCACGGGTAAGTTTGAATTAAATAGAAGTTAATTTATAAAACTAATTACTGTGCCAACTAAAATTGGAAAGTTTAGGCAAATAACAGTTTTGGGCTGAGTCAGCCTTTTCTTTCCATGCTGCTAAATTAATTCAATTTGATTTCATTTTATTATCAGCATCAGTGGGTTGGAAATCCCACCATGTTTTGATATTTTTAAATTGAAAATCTGACTGATACAGAAAACTACATGTTTTAGGGATCAAATTCTTTCAAAAATATCTTCTTAATTTGTAGTGCAGTACTTTTACCTTCATCAGTGTTAGTGGACCTTTGGCTTTGAATTATCTACTTAATTGTCCACTTAGAAGTTGATGTTACAAATGTCTTCACCCTTGAGTATCCATCAGTTTTGAGAACTGCAGGAAATTGAAGCAGACCTGTTTGATTGTTGACAAAAGTGTACTATGATGATTGTGTATAAGGTGTTGAGAAACAGATGATTGACATTTCATAATTTAATGCAGTAGCTCGTCTCTATGATTCAATGTAAATAAGTTTCTGTAAATATTTAAGCTATAATTCATAGGTTTTCAATATATATATAATTAACAATTGATAAGCTGATGCAAGTGGTGAACTTAGCTACAATGATAACTACAATGTGTAAAGCAGTAGCGTAACGAAATGAGTCCATGCCTGCCTACAAAACATTTACAACCCTACTAATAAAAGCTTGGTGTAACTTTGTTTAAACACGCTTATTCCCGGAATAGTTACTTCCAGCGTAAGTTCGGAATAAGGATGGATTAAATTTTTACCAATAATGGCCGCTAAACCATAGCTTAACTAGTTCTTGTTAAATACGGAATCAATGCTTGGCAACGTTGCTTCATACACAGTCGTTGGCGTATTTTGTTTATTCTTTGGTGCCTCTGTAAGGACTCTGCAGGAACTTCGCGTCATGTTTGAATAGAATATTTCATATTTTTTCCTGAATTGTGTTATTGCATTGGTAGTTAGTGAACTCTTATTGATGAACAAATTGTTTGGGAAATACGATAATTTTGAATGCTGGTGTCCGTTTAAAAAAAATTCAATTAATGACCGAAAGCGCGTGTGCAGGTTAAGGATAGATAATGATTGCAGAAATAGCACAGTTTGACAATGAAATCTGACGAATGTCACGAGAAAAAGATGTGAATTCAGTGAAATAAATAAGCTGTGTGTTCAGTAAGTTTATGAATATAACACACATAATGCATTTATAACCCTTTTTTAATTGTTCAATGTTTCATTTGTGAAAATTTTAAAAATTTGTCTCTAAATCCGAATAATA